TAAAAATTCTATATTCATTTTTATATAGAAAGTGCACCAATCATATCCACCTTCTCACCTTCCTTCTTTTACCCTCTTGTATGTGACCTCCCCTTAGAGTGACCTGTTTTACAAAATATTGCTGCATTTTTATTAATGTTGTATTCCACAAATGAGAGAAAACATGCTACTTTTGGCCTTTGAATCTGTCTAACTTTACTTAAGGTGATGTTCTACAGTTCCATCTACTTACCTGCAAATCACAAAATCTCATTCTTTGTGACTGAATAAAATTCTATTTTATGTAAATACCACATTTCTTAATTCATTCATGAGTGCCAGGGCATCTTGGCTGTTTCCACAGAATAGCTATTGTGAATATTCCTCCAGTAAACATGGGTGAGCAAATACATTTTTTATAACCTGACTTACATTCTTTAGATGTATCCTTAGGAGTGGTACTGATGGATCATATGACAGTTCTAGTTTTAGATTTTTGAGGAGCCTCCATACTCTTTTCCATAGTGGTTATGCTAATTTACATTCCTACTTACAGAGTATGAAGGTTCCTTTGCCCCCACATCCTCACCAACATTTGTTGCTGTTTGTGTTCTTAATGATAGCCATTCTAACAAGAGTGAGGGGCAATCTTCATGTGGTTTTTATTTCCTTTCCCTTTACTGTCACGGATGTTGAACATTTCTTCATGTATTTTTTGGCCATTTGGACTTCTTCCTTTGAAAAAGCTCTGTTTAGTTTGTTGGCTCATTGCCTCATTGGATGATCGATTTTTGGAGAGTTTAATTTTCTGAGCTCCCTGCATATTCTGGTTATTAATACCTCATCAGATTTATAGCTGCCAAAATCTACTCCCATTCTATGGGCAGTCCCTTCAATTTGGTGACCATTTCTTTTGTTGTACAGAAGCTTTTAATTTCATGTAGTCCAATTTGTCAATCCTTGTGGTGAGTTGCTGAGCCATTTGAGTTCTATTTAGGAAGTCAGACCTATTCCTATTAATTCCAGTGAATTCCTTGCTCTGTCCTACACTAGCTCAAGCTTCCAGTTCTGATATTAAGGTCCTTAATCCACTTTTCAGTTGATTATTATGCAGGGTGAAAGACATGGATCTTGTTTCAGTTTTCTGCATGCTGATATCCAATTTTCCCTACATTTATTGAATAGACTTTCTTTTCTTCATGGTATGTTTTGGTGCCTTTGTCAAAAATCAGATGGCATAGCTACAAAGTTGCAATTTCTATTTTTTATGGTCCTGTCTACAATATTTTTATTGTCATAGTTTTTACTCTTTCTTCTTTCTTTCTCCATATAATTTTGGCTATATATTTTCTTTTCCTTCTTCCTGCTCATTCTGCTCTTCTGTTTACCTTAGCCTTCCTTCTTTCCGTTATTATTTCACTTGATATTTTGCACTACTCACTAGTATAACATTTTCCTCCTATCTTCTTTTCATCACTGTCCATATTAGCCAGCGATTCTTAGTTCATGAAAAACTATCTTTGCACCTTGTTGCCTGAAGTTTACTGGAGATTTAATAGTGATTGCTCTTAATTAGTGGTTATTGTATTTGAATAGTATTGTGTCAATCAACCCAAATGACTTTTTCTCCCTGAGTGCAGCAGGGGCTCAGACCAGTGTATTGAGCACAGTGAACAACTGTTTGACTCTAACTTTAACCTTCTCCAGGGGTGAGAAACACCACCAAGAATTGACACCACTTAATTTTGCCTCAACATTGTGAATACTTCAACTGCTAGAACATGGGAGATTAGAACCTTCAACCAAATACTTGTGCAACCGTGGATGAGTCTCAATGAAAAAAACACAAGAAATATGAAGGCACATGACTCTTAAAATGTCAATAATACCACAATAAAGAATCCAATACTATGAAGTATTATTATAAAATTAGTTATCAATAGATGACCAGTAACCTTTGGAAGATAAAGAAAAATGAAAAATTTGGCCAACTATAGGTTTTTAAATTTGCAAGTTAAAATGAGAACTGAATTGTTAAGGAAAGTAGATCATGAAACTAAACTTATATACAAGACATCCCTCTTTCCTTATAGGTGGGATTCACTGGTCCTGCCATCTCAAATGAAAGCTTAACTTATCAATTTATATTTAAAGCTGAGAAATAAAACTATTATTTGGAATCTCCAATTTGTGATATGAGTTAATGTATTTCCATGTTTATTTTATGTGCCATCAAGTCATATATTGATAATATATTACTTCTCACACTATATTCATACTGTCAAGGAATTGATAAGTTGTAGCATGTGCTGGCTGCTGACCATGTGGGAGCTGTGAGAGAAATTTTCACTTAACCCTTGGAATACTGTAGAACATTTCTGCACTGTCCTCTGTGGTAATGCCAGATATCCTTTAGCCAAATTTCTCATATGAGTAAGCCTAAAATATTTCACAAGATAGTGCAGAGAAGGGTCATCTGGTTATGTGGAAAATAGTTTGGGGAAATAAAATAATTGGTTCATAATTCAATGTGTTTCACTCTAAGTTATCCATACTGGATGCTCTTAACTTTTCAGCATCTATGGATTCTTTCAGTTGAGCTAGTTTGATGTTTTTCCCTGTCTCTACTCAGATGGCTACAATCCCATCCCCATAAGTACAGTATGCAAAACCTTCCCTGTTTCCAAGTATGTGTGGAAAATCTTTGTGGTAAATCCTCTCTCACTCTTATCTCACTGTCAAAGGACATATAATTTTGTATTTTATGACAATAAAATACAATTTAGAAAGCAGAAGAAATATATTTTGATTAGCTTTTCAAGCTTAACAGAAATTCTAAATTTTGCATTTATTCTAATTTGATAGATTTATTACTTTTTTCATAGTTCAATGACACAAGAAGAAAATAAAAATATATAATGAAATGTGTGTTGACTTGTTTTCATGAAAGTACAAACTACCACATGCACATATTTTAAAAACTCAAACAGTTCAAAAATGTACAAAGTAAAAAAAATGTAGTAATATTCCATCCCCTTTTAAAGAAATAAATGCCTTTCATGATTACTTAGGAATTTTTTCTATTAAAATAATTTTATGCCTATATCTGCATATAATCTCTATTTTATAGGGTACCTATATTCACAGGAAGAAATGGTATAAATATTGTTGCATAATTTTCTCATTTACAGAAAAACTAGCCTGACTCTTATCACCTAGAAATGAAACTTCACGGTCAGGTCATATTGGACCTGAATGCTCTCCCCACAGCAGATATAATGGAGATCATGCTGGAAATTTGTTATTCTCACAGAAGGATAAAGCAAGTGGCAATGTGAGAAAATGAGGTGAATGTGGGAGGATCCTGTGTTTGCACTGTATCATATGGTGAAAAGATTGAGAGACTGTAACTGAGAATCCATTTATATTGTGACAAGTCATTGTTTCTGAGATAGTCCTGAGGAAGCACTCAGAATAAAGATAATTTCCTTATCTTTGTAGCAATTTGAAGACATATCATCCTCTTTACCTCCCATACTAGATTTCTCTCAGCTTTATCCAGCAGTTTAGTTGGTCTTTATCCACAAGAGTTCAACTCATTAATTGTTTTGTTTTTACTGGGCTACTCTTGCTACAATTGTCTTTACACATATTGTGTATAAGGGCTTAAACGTAATGCACTAAATTCTGTGTTATGAAACAATCTATGTCTTTATTGACAATAGCAATCCTCACTAATCACAATAATTAGAATCAAGGACCCAATGGACACAAACCCTTTGTTCCTTTTGGTTCACTTGTATAAGGAGGACAATATGTTGGTTCCTACTTTGTCCCAGGCAGATATGTTCTCCTCCCCAGAAATCAGGACCTGCATGCTTTGTGAAGTTAAAGACTGTAGAAGTATATTGCTGAGACTGGTAATAATAGGGGACATTCTAATTTGAGCCCTTGAATCTCAGAACGATGTATGTTACCCAAATGGTGAACCCCATGTCATATATCAAATAGAGTTTCAGTGCTCCATGAATATACTGAATTCTGAGGAGAGCATCCCACTCTTCACAGACCTGAATTCTAGCTGCTCAATTAATGCAGCTTTTAAAAGGTATTTATCCTATCAGGGTGAAAACTTGTGTGACAGGTTACCTGATATGATTGGTGAATTATGAGCCTTCATTTCCAGCCCAAATGAATGTCTCTACCTTAACTGTAGGCATATATGCTTGTAATAAAACTTTGTTATAGATTCAAGATAAATCTTACACTCCCATAATATAACAAAGGATCAAATTAGAAGCAAAATGTAAATTTTATTTGAAAAATTATTATATAACTGCAACCCAAATTTTGAGATCAGAGCCTTCTTAAGACAAATAACTCTTAGAGGGTGAATTTTCTCTCCATGTTTCCTAACTGTTCTAGAAAGATCTGGGTAAAATATTAAGTTTTCAGAGTATTGGTCAAAACTGGAAATAAGATGGTCTAAAGTATGTATCCTGTCTCTTACAATAGGAATCATCTACAATTATTTGAATCTGGTTCTTTCTTCCGAAGAAGAACAGTTAAGTTGATCATAAGATGTGATGTATCAAAGTGTCTAATAAATGAAATTGTTTGAAAGAGGGAAAATATGACCACATCTGGGTATAAGTTGTGGGTAGGTAGATGGGGAACTATTAGAAGAAAAATCCCAAAGTCAACAAGAAGAAGGAAGGAAAAATCACAGACCAAAATCATACATGACACTAGGTAGGCTAGAGAGGCTAAGACAGAGCAGTGAACATCAAAGGAAACGGGCCTAACACACCTGTTTGTACCTCATTCTGTCTCTCAGCATAAAATTGACACAACATCAGTGAGTTTATTCTTGAAGGAAGTAGAAATTCTTTGATCCTAAGATATTGTTACCTTTAAGCAAATAACTTAATGATAATATTCTCTATTGACTTCTTATAGGTAAATTCAAACTTTGAAAAAGAATGTAAGACCTTCACTCATGTTATTTCATCTGAGATCAATTACCTCCTCCACAATTTCTTCATGGCATTTCTCACTTCTGAATTCCTCAGAGTATAAATCAGAGGGTTGAGCAAAGGTGTTCCAAGTGTATAAAACACAGCTATTAACTTATCCATGGGGAAGGTGGTTGCAGGACGGGTGTATATAAATATGCAAGGTCCGAAGAAGAAGATGACCACGATGATGTGGGAGATGCATGTGGAGAGGGCTTTTCTCTTCCCTTCGGCACTGTGGTTTCGCAGGGAATGCAGGATAATAGCATAGGAGATCATCAGCATGACAAAACTCACTGTACAAATGGCCCCACTATTTGACACAAGAAGGAGATTGACCACATAAGTGTCTGAGCAGGCAAGATTCAACAGGGGCTGCAAGTCACAGAAATAGTGATCAATCACATTGGGACCACAGAAAGGCAAACTCAGTGCCAGAAAAATTTGAGTTAAAGAATGTACACAGGATCCCACCCAGGCCATGGCCACCAACACACCACAGAACCGGTGACTCATGATGGTCATGTAGTGCAGGGGCTTACAGATGGCCACATAGCGGTCAGCAGCCATAAGGATGAGGATGAAGATCTCCAGGCAGCCAAAGAAATGGAATGTGAAGACTTGGATTATGCACTCACTGAAAGAAATAGTGGCCTTCTTCAAAAAGGCATCCACAATCATTCTAGGTGCTATAGAAGTAGAGAAGCAGGTATCAGATAAGGATAAATGGAAAAGGAAGAAATACATTGGACTCCCAAGGGCCTTGCTGGTCTTGATGGTACTAATAATCAGCACATTCCCCAACAACATTCCCAAATAGAAAAGCAAAACCACAACAACCACTATTTTCTTCCTAAATGGGTCCTGTGTTAACCCAAGTAGAATGAACTCAGTCACATTATTATTTAGTTTCATGGTTACATGAATGAGAAAGGGCAAGTGCAAAACAGTTTATCTGCAAAAACAAAGGAAATAATTCATGCTATGCTATGCAGTGTTATTAGATATGTTAAGCAAAATAAATATTTCTCATTAAGGACATTCTGTCTGTGGTTTCTCAGTAAGTCACTTCAACAATTGTTCCTCAATTTTAATGACCAATTTGTTGGTTATCATGAGTCTCAAATAAGCTTATGAATGTGATTCTTCCTCATAACATTCTTCAAATACAAACCCTTTTTAGCTTTGGCATGATTCTTTTTAACTCAACCAATTCAATGAATGCAAAATTAAAATGTTAATATTGACATTTGTCATATTCCACAAACATTAAAGCCCTTGTTTCAAAGACATATCACTTAATATTTAGGATATATTGGACTGCCTTGGAATTTCACACAACTACCACACATAAATTCCATCTATCGTATTTTATATATATTACAAACCATTATGCATATTAATACAAATATATTGTTTATATATACATGACATCTGTACTTTGAAAAGTTCCTCTGAAATATTTCAGCTTGAAAAGGGGAAAAAATACAAGTAGCCTCCAAATAATCTGCTGCTCCTTTGAGGTACCCTTAAGATATTTAGTACCGAAATATGCAAATTAACTGAGATGAATGTTATTCAGTAGCTAGTAATATTTTAAATATTCCCATTTCTAATTTTCTTGATTTTATTAGGAGTATTTCTTAGACCAGTCAGAATCAGTTGACTACATTTAATTAAAAGATAGTGGGGGTATTATTACTCAGTTGCTCATGTTTTCATAATAAAGGTTTATTTTATATGACATAAAAGTATTGTGGTTTTGTGAGAAGTCACCAGGCAGGTGATATAGGATCAGATCATGGTAGTAATCCCTAGCTGAGTTTTATAACCTAAATATATGAAAACCACATGATTTTGAGACAGAGTAGAAGTTTTAGAGAAGAGAGATACCAGGTAGACAATAAATAACTTTTTCATTCAATTTGTTTTTGTTCTATAAGAAATGATTATTCAGTTTTTAAATGTCACTTCTTTTGGTTAACTATTTTCATATTATTTTACAATAATATTACCATAGTATTCATTTTCAAGAACAAATTTTTCTCCAGAAACTTCTTGTCAATATGAGGCTTGAAACTACATCTACACCAGCAAATATACAAACTGCTGTACAATTTATTTCAATACAATCTAGAGTACATACTTAGTCCATTATGTTCCTCCCCAATCCCATCTACACTTTCAGTAGCTTGTGTTGAAAATTGTGAGCTGGTCAAAGAATAGGAAAATATAGGAAATGATAGATAAAATGGACCCCTAAATTTTCCTTATATTATGTATTTCTTCCTCTCTCTTAGCAAATTTTATTCTCTTCAATGGACTAGAAATATACCTTGCTTTCTTCCGAAGTGAATATACTTCTAGGAAAACATCTGGTAAAATTACCCCTTTAGACGCTGTTATCTTTGCAAGGATCTCAAACTAGAATGCTTCTGAGTTGATGTCTTAATCACTAGAATAAACTCACCCTTTCCTTTTCACATTGGAAAGAGAAATCTAACATGAAATATCTGTCCTTGAAAATGTGATAGGCCTGGGAGGGCATGATAATGGAAAAGATCCTTTTACCTTCAATTGCTCATACTTTTAACCACTCTTTGGTTTGGAAGTTATCAACCACATTCAGTTTCAATTACTAGAACAAGCTTGTTTTTCTCATGTATAAGGACACATAATTTTATATGAATTAAGAATTTCAAATACATATGATTTAATTAATTTGGAAAGGGATTTTGGTCTTGGTCAAATATATAATGATCAGTTTTAGTCAACAGCCACCATCTTCTCTGGAATTCTTTTTATTTCTAGCTACTCCAACAATCTTGAATCTTCAAGACACAACTGCAGAGAAACCTCCTCCCAGAAGCCTTAAATGATCACCTTTCGATGAGGAAAATGTGTGTGCTTCTCTCTAAAGATATTTTTGTTATACTGTTGCATATAATTACTTAAATGCAATTATGAATATGTTTCTTTTAACTTCCTTCCTAGAAAAGAATTTTGGAAATGTAGATGTTATCAGAATAATATTCATTACTGCACCAAATGCTATGTCTTCTATACTTAGGTGTTTAGCAAGAATTATAAAATTAGACATTCTTTCTTCAGTATAAAATTGATACATATTTATCTGATAATTTCAGTATTCTAATTATAAAACATATTCACATCACTAATTTACTGAAAGCTTCTATGTATTGTGAATGACAGACAAATATTATCCTAATTTAAAAACAAAAAAAGGTCTGGAGACAAAAAAAACTTGACAACTCGCCTCCATGACCTCGTGTAGAAGAAGTGCTCCGTACTGCTTTACACTGGCATGAAAGACAGTGGGAGTCAAATGGATGCAAAATAATCACCTTAAGAATCTGCTGTTGTTGTAGCACATGGATCAATAACCCATAAGGTATGCGAGGAGAAGTCTTGACGTTTTTCATATCCTTCAGCTAATGCATGGTTTGGTTGAGTTTTTCCAGATTCATAAGAATTTTCATCAGGTTGCCAAAGAAATCAGAAACAAAAATAGTTTTCAATAGTCTGAAGCAAACACCACCAATGATAGAGGACATATTTTGTGTCTACGCTTCTAACAAGAAAAAACAATTTTAGGATGGCTATGGTGGTCAAAACAGACAATATTTTGTGTTGGAGGAAACAGAGAAAAGATGAAATGAAAGCACACAGAAGGTAGGGATTGATGAGAGTGGAAATCTAGTCAGATGACTCCTTCCATGCTTCTACATCGTACTGTACAGGACCAGTGAGAAGCTTCACTGCTTCTTAGGATTCTATCTTAAAGAACTCACACTTCCCTAATTCAGTTACACTAGACTTCTATATTTGAGAAAATCTCTACACTCTATTAATATGTAGCATGTATTGTTTTCTATAGAAAGAAAAATAGGTTACTCCATACAACCTCTGCTCCAAAGCGTAAGTTAAAGTGTGACATAAACTACTCACCTGAGCTCCTCACTGTAGTTGCATACCGTAACTCCTGCTATCTTGCTAAGAGTGAATCTAAGAAGCTGCCTGGCCTAAAGGTTGGAGTTCTTCACCTAATTCAATTCAAGTACCAGTGTTTTGAGTTAGTTGCCTTAACTTCCTGAAATTCATATGTATATAAAGAGAGAGAGGGAGAGGAGAGAGAGAGAGAGAGAGAGAGAGAGAGAGAGAGAGAGAGGGAGAGAAGCACTACTACTGTAGTTTGAACTCAGGGCTTTGCTCTTGTATGGCAGAGGCTCTACTGCTTGAGACATATCTTTAGTCCTTTCTGCTCTATTTATTTTGGAAATAGGGTCTTGCTTTTATTCCAGGCTGGCCTAAACCATGACCCTTCTATTTTACTTGTCCCATCATCTCTGGCATGACAGACATGCCACAACACACATATTTTTTCCATTGAGATGGGATCTCACAAACTACTGTACCCCTGGCTAACCTCAAACCATGATCCTTCCAATCTCAGCATCTCAAATAACTCAGATTACAGATATGAGCCATCAGTGCCCAGCACTAACCAAAAAAGAGAAGCATTGTGGAAGAGTAAAGGTAGATAACATTATAAGTTGAAAGAGGTTGAGCAAGAACAAATGTTAAGGAAAAGAAACATTTTTACTAAAATTATTTTCAGAATTGCCTATACAATGTATGTAGCATATTTTCTTTCACCATATATAATATACATGTATTAATTTACATATATATGTATATGTATGTAAATTTAGAAATATATTTACATAAAGTACTATTTTATGCTTTTCTTATAAGGTATAAATATATTATATTTAGCTTTCTCATATACATATCTGCTGTTAGCATTTCTGAGAACTAGTTAGTCACATTTTCAAACTAAATCTCAGATATGGATCAATTACAAAATTGTATCATGATGATACCATTTATTTATTTTTCTTTATTGTTGTGATGGGTGAGGGTACATATGGCATTTACACAGGCTATTCCAACATATCAAATATATCATGCGTGTATTCACCCCCTCAACCATTCTCTTTCACTCCTCTCTCCATTTAAGTAACATGCAAGGAGTAAAAAGATTTGAGAATTATTCAACACTCCAACATCTCAAGAAATTGTGATAAAGTGTGACATACGGAATGCAAATCTCCCTTCACACAAAACAATGATGACTTTCTACATCCCCAGTGCTTACTAAAAGTGTGACTTAATTTCAAAAGATGAACAGTTTCCTGATGTTTATATATCATTGAATTTAATTTCTTCATGAACATTTAAACTTTTAGAAACATTGAGTAATTGATTTTTTCCTGTGGATATATTATATGATGTGGGAATCATATAGTTACAGGAAATAGAAATTTGTTAAAAAATATTGGAATAACCTGTAAGAATGACTTTGTGAGCTAAAGATGCAGATCTGTCACTTACCAGTTAGAGGAATCTCTAAATTAGTATAATTTGTCCATCCCTTTTCTAGTGCACCCTTTCCATAGAATACCAAGGGGAAAATTCTTTCTGCTTTCTAGAGGGAATTATTACCATATAATGATGTAAAATAAAAGTTTACTATTATTCCCTAAATTTATTCTTATATTTTGAATAATATACACCTTGAATATTACAAAAACTAACTTTTGATTTTCCCATTCAGCTGTAAAAGTAGCTTATACTTAACATACTTTGAACCAGGGTTTGGTGATGTTAAGTACATCATGCACATGCAAGATACTGGGAAAAATGCTAATGGTTGGTGGAGAGGGTGATAGACACAGGAGGAAAATAGTGTCATTGATGAAAGATGAAATGGCTTATGCTGGAAGAGTTCTATTCTCTCTGTATTAGGAAAACAGATTTTCTAGTTTCTGTAATATACTTGTAAGTACCTATCAGGAGAGAAGGAGGTGTGGTGTCCTGGAATCAGATTCTAT